CAAAAAAAAAAAAAAAAAAAAAAAAAGCCTGGGCTATGTAGTGGGCCCTATCTCAACACAAAACAAACATGGAAGTTTCAGGTTTTTTGTTTTTTTTTAAAGAAGATCTACCATGTAGCCCAGGCTGGACTTGAGCTGGCTTTGAACTCCTTCCTGATCCTCCTGCCCCCACTTCCAGAGTTCTGGAATTACAGAAGAGCAGCACCACACCTGGCTCACAGCTGCAGCTGCTGAACTGTGTGTAGTTGTGCACACTTAAGTCCCAGCTACTCAGGAGGCTGAGAGGAAGGAGGATCACTTCAGCCAGACACTGCAGATCAGCCTGGGCGACACAAACACACAAACACACACAGTAGTTTCTTATGCTGGGTCATTTTGGATTTTAGAATTTCAAGTAATGGCCGCTCTACAGACACATTGTAAACATCAGAACAGTGCTCATAGGGCTCACAAGTTAGACACCTGTGCTAGGGGCAGACTTAATTTTATATATTAGTTGGGCGTTGGTGGCGCACGCCTTTAATCCCAGCACTCGGGAGGCAGAGGCATGCAGCTCTCTGTGAGTTCGAGACCAGCCTGGTCTACAAGAGCTAGTTCCAGGACAGTCTCCAAAGCCACAGAGAAACCCTGTCTTGAAACCCCCCCCAAAAAAGAAAAAATAATTCTATGTATTAATTAGTGTGTATACTAAATAGTGACAGAAATGGACAGGGGCTGGGGGTGTGGCTCTACCACTGAGCCACTAGAGTCCCCTAGTGAGGGGCTGCATGCACCTGCCTTGCATGCAGAAGGCGCTGGATCTGGTCTCAGCACAGTGAAAATACAAAAGGAGGCGTCGTGCACAGTGACAGACACAGGTAAGGATGTGTACACTGGGATGTAGCTGGTAAGTTTAGGTAAACCCTGGTTCTCTGGGCTGTGTGTGGAGCACCACCTGGTGGTGACTGTGGGGACCTACACATTTTGTGCGTCCTGGAATTTTTACCCTTTTCAGCTCAACTCATCTTTTCTATTATTTTGCTTATTATTTATTATTTTGAGACAGAGTTTCTCTGTATAACTCTGGTAGGAATCTTATATACACACCAGACTAGCTTCAAATTTTCCTTTCGGCCTCAGCTTCCCAAGTCTGGGGAACTGTCACCTCCGAGGCAAAGACAGGTGGACAGTCAGGGTTGGAGTCAGCCAGGACTACAGAGTGAGACTATGTCTAAGGGGGAACAAAGGTGGGGTTGGGAATAGCTCATCCATAAAGTGCTCACTGTGCAATGAACAAGAGGGGGAGCTGTGGCACACACTTCAACCAGAGTGCTCGGAGGCTGAGACAGGGGCCTGGCTCACTCACTGCAGTTTCCCGGCCAATCAGATTAGACTAACCAGCGAGCCCCAGGCCTCAAGGAGAGATCCTATCTCAAGACACAAGGTAGACAGCGCCTGAGGCATGAGACTCAGGCTGATCTCTGGCCTCCACACCCAGCACTGCCACAAACATCAACACACACAAGAATTCAGTGCCTGGGTTGCAGGCATGCACAGCAATGTTAGGGTTAGGCATGTGCCGCAGGGTTAGGGTTACAGGCATGCACCGCAGGGTTAGGGTTGCAGGCATGCACTGTAGGGTTAGGGTTACAGGCATGCACCGCAGGATTAGGGTTACAGGCATGCGCTGCAGGGTTAGGGTTGCAGGCATGCACCGCAGGGTTAGGGTTGCAGGCATGCACTGTAGGGTTAGGGCTACAGGCATGCACTGTAGGGTTAGGGCTGCAGGCATGCACTGTAGGGTTAGGGCTGCAGGCATGCACTGTAGGGTTAGGGCTGCAGGCATGCACTGTAGGGTTAGGGCTGCAGGCATGCACTGTAGGGTTAGGGCTGCTAACCTCTCCCCTCTGCTTCTCAAGTGCTAGGGTTCCAGCCATGTTACCACACCCATGTAAGGTGGTTCTGGCTTGGCTTGAGGCCAGTACTTCATGCACCCTAGGCAAGCACTTTACCAACTGAGCTATATCTCTTCAGCCTTCCATGAAACTTTTTTTTTTGAGACAGGATTTCAATGTGTAGCTCTGGCTGGTCAGGAACACTCTATGCAGACCAGGCTGGCCTTGAACTCACAGAGATGTGCCTGCTTCTGCCTCCTCAGTGCTGGGATTAAGGGCGTGCTCCACCAGGCCTAGCACCCACCAAGTTTCTTAGATTTATTGGCAATGCCCCCCTTTGCCATGTAGTGTCACATACTCAAAGCTCAGGAATTAGGATACGGCTGGCTTCAAGTGGCAGCTGCACCGGGGACACCATGGGACATGCTCAGCTTCTCTAACAGGCTCAAAGTGCAATGGGCTCCTGAGCTGTCCCCGAGACTGTAGGGACCTGGAATGAGATGGAGTGTCACTTGGTCTGTGCTTCTTCACTGTCCAGTGAGTTCCTGAGCCCAGACATCTCCAAGGTGCCGGATCTTTAGTTCTGTTCCCCTGCCCATCCTGTCCCTCACTGGTGACTGTCACTGACTCCCAGCTTCCCTATGGAACGACAGCAGACACCTCCCTCCTGTTCTGCACCTCCAGCCTACTCTTTTGGGGGGCGTGTATCTTAGGAGAGCAGGGCTGTCCAGCTGGGACCTCAAACAGAGCCACCAACCCCTGCTGCAATCCCACCGGCACCACCTTGAGTGTCTCCTGCTTCTGTTCTCGCTCCCTAAGGGGGATTCTAGCCAGGTGTGGTGGTGCAGGACTGTACTCCCAGCACCAAGGAGGCTGAGGCTGGAGGATGATGAGTTTGAAGCCAGTCTGTGTTCCCCGCACCCAGGTGGCTGAGGCGGAAGGTCTACTTGAAGTTTAAAGCAAGCCTGGACCATACAGTGAGTTTCAGGCTAGCCTGTCTCAAAAAGCAAAACCAAGGCAATTCAAACATTTGGGAGGCAGGAGAATTAGAAATTCAAGGCCATTCTCAGCTAGATAGTGAGTTTGAGGCAGGCTGGAGGCACATGAGACCCTGATTTAAAAAACAAAACAACAACAGAAAGTAAAAACTAAAACGAAAATAGGGCCAGCGGGTAAAGGCACTTTCCAAGCCCGGCCCCTGAGGTCCATCCTAAGGTAGGAGGAGAAAATGACTCCACAGAGTTGTCTTCTGACCCCCAGACACATATGCTCCGTGGCATTCATGCTCTCTCCCACAATAATAAGTAAACTATACCCAAACCTATGGGAGATCCTGGAAGCTTGTGCCAGCTGGCGTCACACTGCTTGAAACCCTTCTGGCGCGCAGGGTCTCAGCCTCACTAATTCTCCCTGCAGCTAGCTCATCCTGGAACTCTCCACCAGTGCTTCTGCCCCAGGGCCTTTGCACTGGTCACTCCCCCGGGGCTTGGAATGTTCATTGCTCTGAAAACACCTTCTGAAAAGTCACCTGAACGAAGTTTGTGGCCGTTGAGGCTCCAGATTCAACTCCTCATGCTATCTATGCAACAAATACTTTACTCACTGAGCCGTACCCCCCAGCCCTGAAAAAGAAAACGAGCTAAAAGCATGGGGCGTGGATGGATGGAGGAGGAGGTTGTGGGCTGGGCTGCTGTTAGATGCGGGCAGGAGTCAGAGGTGCCAGGGAAGCAGGGGGCTGAATGGGAAGAAGGGTGTTAGTCACCTCCACAAAGTTGGTGTGCTTGGCATCCCTGACGGTGACCACGGCGTGCACCTCCTCGATCAACTTCTGCTTCTCATCGTCATCGAACTGCATGTACCACTTGGCCAGGCGTGTCTTGCCCGCCCGGTTCTGGATGAGGATGAAGCGGATCTAAAGCAAGCAGGGGAGGAAGTCAGGCAGGGACACGGCTCAGGGTGGGTCCCACCAGACACCCTACAGCAAAGGAGGCAGGGTCCCAGGCTCTCCCTGTAGCCTGCTTTCTATGGCTGCCTCCCTGGGCCCCAACGTGTCACACTGGACATGGGCTCCATCCAAGTCCCAGGCTTTAGTTCATCTCATATGCGTCTCAGAAGTTTCTTAGGAAACCAAATTTCCTAAGATGCCCTGCTTCATTAGAGATGGGGTCAAGGTTGTTCTCCACCTTGGATTAGAGAAATACTGTGCTAGTCTCTATGTGTGTACTCCTGGTTGTTTTTGGCTTCATACCTAGAGTCATTCCCTGAAGCTGTGGCTCACCCACTTGGCTGGCTGGCCGTAAGCCCCAGGGCCCTCCTGGCTCTGCCTCCCTGGTTCTGAACTATCATGCTCAGCTTTCCACATGGGGGCTGAGGATCACCATTTACTCGTTATGTTTGGGCGGCAAGCACTTACTTTAGCCACCAAGCCCACTTATTAAATAGAATTCACACACCAGCTGGTGCTTGGTGGAATTCCAACACCCTGGAGGCAGAGGCAGGAGGAGAATTATTGTTAAGTATGAGGCAAGCTTGGTCTACATCTCCAGTTCCAGACCAGCCAAGGCTACATACATATCAAGACCCGGTCTCAAAAAACAACACAAAATCAGACACCAGAACCTTCACCCTTTCAAAGGTTCTAAGGATAATTTAGGATAATCCCTTAGTCTATTCATGGTTGTACAACCGTTACTACCAATCCTAGTATGGACTTTCCCTCCTCTTGTTTTGCCAAGAGTGACCTGGAGCCCACTGTTACCAGGCAAACCTGGAACTTCAGGTCCTCCTACCACAGCCTGAAGGTACTCAATTATAGGCCTACCCCACTCACTTCCATTCTTTAGAGACAAGTGTATCCCACTCTGTTTTTTCCTTCTTCAGTGATGGACAGTTTCCATTTCTGGGCTACCGTTAAAAATGTTACGCGAGTCTGTGTGTATATACACCTCGTTTTGTGGCTGCAGACCTAGAAGCAGGATTGTTAGGCTGTATAGAAACTGTTTATCCTTCCCAGGAAGCGTTACGCTGCTTCCCAAAGTATTTGGTGCTTGTTTGTTTGTGTGGAGATCCAAGGATTTCGAGGGTGGCCATTCGCCCCTCCACTTGGGTTCCTGGTTTTAAACTCAGGCTGTTGGGCTGTGCGGTGAGCCATTTCAGCCGTTTGTTTGTTTGTTTGTATTTCGCTGAATTCTGGGATGGAGCCTCATGCCTGCCAGGCAGAGCAAGTGAGCCTTGGCGTTTTAAGTACAGTAACTGCTCAGGCGCCTCAGCGTGCTGAGTGCTAAGTCATGTATGACATCCACCTGTGGCTCAGACCAAACACTCTGTGTTAGTATGACTATTTTCTGTCTGGCTCAGAAGTTGGTTGCTAAGATTCCCAAACACTAGGTCACCTGTCACAGGACAATTCTGAAAGTTCGGTAAGTCAGGTTGGGCTTCGTGGTGCAGGCCTGTGTGTGTCCCGCCCCCCCGGCCCACCACAGCCAACAAAACAGCGGCTGGGGGGAGCTACAGCCACAAGTGCTTACTTAGCACAGCGCCCAGCACCAAGCACCCGCTGAGCCCTCAGTAACATTAGCATTCAATGGCATAGCTAGAAGCACACACTGCTGAGCTAGATCGCATCCGAGCACTATCAGACAGTGGCTGTCTGCTCATGGGTGGACCACTTAACCTCCCTGGGCCTCCGCTTC